TCCTGAGATTTCCAGCTATCCTGAGGGAAACTCAGAGGGAACCAGTACTAGATGATTCGATTAGTCTTTCGCCCCTATGCCCAGCTCAGACGATCGATTTGCACGTCAGAATCGCTACGGACCTCCACCAGAGTTTCCTCTGGCTTCATCCTGGCCAGGCATAGTTCACCATCTTTCGGGTCCCAACATGTCTGCTCTTGGTACTTGCTGCTCCCTGCCTGCCGCCACACACACACTCGCACGCACGTCTCGCGACGACGGCGACGGCGGTGACGAGGGCGACATCACAGCAAGTCCCGGGCCTGCGCCCCTTCCTTCCTGCACAACATACATACATGCAGGCTGGAGGATATTTCACGCCATCGCATTCCCTGCAGCCAGCACCTCCTTAAGCCGCACACCTTGTCGACAGGGCAAAGGGAAAAAACTCGACCAGTGCTTACCCGTCTTGGGGCGGATGGTAGGTGGAGGCAGCAGAGTCAGCACCCGGCGAGGGGATCGGCCCCGGCTCCAGCCCATGCACCACTGAAAGGTGCACACGCCAGGCCTGTCACTTTCATTACGCCTTTGGGTTTAGTGCGCCCCACTGACTCGCACACATGTTAGACTCCTTGGTCCGTGTTTCAAGACGGGTCGGATGGTTCACCGATCTCTTTGCACGCCGCGAGAGACAGCCCGCTTGCACGGGCTGGCTCGTCTTTGCGACCGTCGCAGGACCGCCAGGATCACCGCGGTTTCGCCAATCCTCCTACTCCTCCTCCCGTGTATTCTCCTCACCCGCCGCTGCCGGTAGGCAAGCGGAAGAAGGATAAAAAATGGAGACAGGGGAAGAAGACCCTCCCAAAGGCCTACCAGTTTCCCTTCCCCCCGTCACCGGGCCCTCGACGTCACCCAGCAACGGGTTATTCCCCCTCCCCCCCCCGCGGCGCCCTACAAAACGAGGGAATAATCCCGCCGGCCCGACGCCCAAGCGATGGTGCAAGGACACGCGCCAAAGCAATTCGTGGGGGTACGCTTGCTTTCCGACCTGGAAATCGGCGGAACAGACAATAAGAGACACCCCCGCCCCAGCCCGAAGTCGGCCGCCCTTGAAAAAAAAAAAATTTTCCCTACCCGTTCGACCCTTAACAAAAGGGTTATTTTCCAATCCGTTTGGGCTTCTTTTAACGGTTTTTTTTTTTTTTTTTCCACCCCACGACTCCTTTGAACTCTCTCTTTTTCAAAAGTCCTTTTTTTCAACCTTTCCTCCCTCAACGTTACCTTGTTTCCGCTATCGGTCCCCCCCCCCCCCCCCCCCCTTCGTGGGGTCATATTTTTTAAAAGCCCTTAGATGGAGTTTTACCACCCCCCTGCTTTGGGGGGCTGCCACTAATCAAGCAACCCGACTCTACGGAGAGGCCCCCTTTCCGACCGTGCCATCCTTTTTTAACCCTCGCGGGCGCCCGCCAACAACGGGCCTGACAACCACCCTCCCATGGGGCCAGTGGGGGCTGCATTCATGCTCTAACTTAGGCGGTAATGGCACGGCGTGCTGGACCCTCCACGAAAACGCAACAACACCCCCCCTCGTGCCGGGTTTAGGACACGAGGTTTATGCGCTGGGGCTTCTTCCTCCCGGTTCAGCAAGTCGCCCCTTTACGTAAGGGAATCCCCTGGTTGGTTTCTTTTTTCCTCCCGCTTATTAATATGCTTAAAATTTGGCGGGTAGGTCTCTCTCCACCTCAACGAGGTCCCCACAGGTGGGGGGTGGCCCCCCCACATTCTCATTACTACTATTATTATTATTATTATGTAATACTTTTTGCCCTGGCCCAGCCTCTGTTACCCCACACCTGGGCTTTAAGCCTCGCCTCTTTCCTCCCATGTGTGGAGAGAGAAAAGAGAGCAAGCAGAGGCAGGAAGCAGCAGCAGCAGCAGCAGCACAGCCATGAAGAGGATGTTACAGGGCAGAACAGAATGCCCATCAAATAACCCCTCCCCCACGGCCTAATTACTACTTCTTTTTTCTCCTGCCCCTCCGTACCTACTACCCTGCCCTGCCCCCTCTTGCTGTAGTCACCAGCAACGACGTCCCATAGTAAATAATCGTTTCCCATCCCGGTGTCCAACAGATTTTTGGCATAATCGTCCCCCCCCCGGGCAGCTTGCTCCACGTCGGGATCACGTCCCCCCTCCCTTTCCTCTGCCATGCATGACCCCTAACGGGCAGAAAGGTGCGGCACTGGTTTTTAGGGAAACCCCCCGACAACTTGCTTCCTGCCCTGCCCCTGCCTTGCCCCTCCTGCCCTGCCCCCTACCCAAAACCAAGGGAGCAGGGAAAGGAAAAATAGCAGGGGGAAAAGGAAATGGGCTATGCCGGTGATTTTTCCCCCCCAGAGCGGGAGGGAAACCGAAAAGGGCCCGACCCCGATGGGACGATGATTTGGATTAAATCATGGTTTTTTTTGGGATGGTTTTTTCCCCCAAAAACCCCTCGTTTGGGGGGGTGAGGGCAGCTGGT